TAGAGTCGTTAGCGATTCTGTGACAAAGTCAGGCGGCAAACGCAGATATTTGCTGTCTCATGCCGTCGACAGCAATCCACAGCGAACGGCGCGCGGTGCAAGATTCAGCAGGTCGCAGGTCAGGTATCAGCGCCACAGCTGCTGATCTGGGTGCATGGTTCGTGCTTTCTGGCAGCGGCATGGGCCAGGGGAGGGTGGGATCTCTTAATGTCCAGGTGCCAGCCTTTGCCGCCTTTGCTTTTGTGTTGGCACGGCACAGTGGGGTCACAGGGCGGTGCTGGGGCCTCACAGCAGCCCACGACATGGGCGCCGAGGCGGGCAGCTCGTGGTTTTGAATGCCGCAGGGGCGCAGGGCTGGGTACGATGCATGGCGTATCGGACATACGGGCGACCAACCCCCTTCGCGGGCTGCATATAGTGCCACCCAATGGGATCGCACTGCCAATTCCTGTGAAACCAGTGGCGTAAATTTGAGGCGCGAATTTTTTTTTCGACGAGGCAAGGCCGGTTGCACTGAACGTTCGCCTCCCATTCATCGCCCCAAGGGCCAAAGAACAAGCACTACATGAAGGCAGATGCCAGGTTTGGAGATGAACTATGAATTTCAAAGTTTGTCAAATGTGCACTGCATAAATGTTCAGGCCAGAAATGCTTATGGGTGAAACAATTTCGCACGGCGCACACATAGGGCGTCACCATAGCGTGCATCACCACGGAGTGCGCAAAATGTTCTGGTCAAAATTTTTTCTGCAAAGTATGCAAAAAACTTTGGCGGGCAACCGGTTTCGGCAACTACGTAGGTGTGGTCTGATAGACGTCAGGTCGCTTGTCGCAATGAGAGCCAGGTCAGCCGGCGGCAGGGAGTTTATTTGGCCCCCCGGCGAAGCGACGCGGACGTCGCACCGCCTCACGGGTACAACGAGCCCAAATGGCGGGAGGTCTCCCTCGACTTCCCAAAGCCTGGCGGTGTGCTCCAAGCCCCCCTCCCGCTTTGTGGGGCTTACGCTGCCTGAGCGAGATTGCCTGGCAGCAACCGATCACTTGCGACACACTCTCTCCTGGTCGCTGATCGTCCCCCTTGCGTGGGGGGCGCGTCGGGGCCATGGAGCCGGCCTTCGACATCGATGCCTTTGGCGCCCTGACGCTCACGGCAACCAGCACCCCTCGGTGCGGATACAAACCGCGGTGTGGAGAGCGTGCGAGGGCTGGCCCAAACTGCAGGGAGCATCTCCAACATGGCGGGGGCGATTGCGGCCGCCGTTGCTCTCCTGTGGAGCGTCGCGGGCCATGATCCAGATCAGGCCGACGCCGCGGAACTGAAGGGCTGGCTTCTGCCGCTGGCGAAGGCCCTGGACACGGCCGGCTTGCTGGACGTCGCCAAGCTGATGGATGGCGGCGACGCGTCCCTCCTTCAGCCCTTGGGCGGGCCCTCGGGCGGGTGGTGGGCGGGTGGCCCGCCGCATCGCGCGGGCAGGAAGGGCGGGACGACTGCCCACCGGCCTTCGGCGACGAACAAATGCGGGCCTTGGCGGAAGACGCCGGCGTTGAGGCGGAGGACGCCGGGAGCTTTGTGGCGATGCTGCAGGCGCATTTGATCGGCGGCGAAGGCAGCGCCGTTTCGGGCGAGTGGCTGCGCATGGCGAGGTGACCCGGTTGGCTCGAGCGGGGCTATTATGCCCCCCGAGTTTTCAGTTGGAGCGCTGCCAAACTCGCTGCTGATCTGCGCTCTGTCGGACAACGCCTGAGTCGCTCGCGACGTACTTCATGAGTTCCGCGTGTCCAACCCCCCTGTGCGCAGTCGAGGGTCGCGTGGGAGTGATTCGCATGGGCGTTCAACAAGGGTGCGTGGCGTGTGCAGGGAGAAGATCGGGCGCAAAGGCGCCGTTGGCATGGCGGATTTTGCAAGGTTTTGTGCCTCGCTGTGCAGCTCCCCAGCAGCACCGTTCGCAACGCGCCCGCAACCGGCAGCGATAAACCCTGGCCCTGTTGAGGTGCCCGGGCCATCTCGCCCACACCAGGTTTTTTCAGCGTCCAGCGTTGCCGGGAGTTGTCCGAAGTGAGGCTTATGCGTCAAAATTCTGCCGGACACCTTATCCGAATTGAGGTGCTTTGGGTCAAAATTTCCCAGACACTAGTCTGCAAGCGGCATGCAAGTTTGCAAGTGACGGCCTGCAAAAGGCCGTTGGCTCCTTCAGCAAGGTCAATCAGCCCAAGATTGTTGTTCTGCTGCTTATCTTTCGCCTGTCTTCCACTGGAAGAGGAACAGCAACGGCAAACTCGTGCCATTCCTTCCCTAATGGGCTTTTCTCATTTGCAATTTGTGACACCAATTGCCAATGCTCTTGTTTTGCTTACATGAGGTATGTTGCGGGGCCTAGCCCATGCAGCACACCTGATTTGGAACACTACACAAGGGTGCGCAAAGCCAAAAGTTACTGCCTGTAAGGGAAGAAATTATTTTGATTTTGGTACACTGAACGTCAGATTGATGTAAAGGGGGGTGGGTTGGGGGTGGGGGGGGAGCCCTTGACGCTTTTATGTAATTGCACTAAAGTCTGAAAAAGGTGGGAAAATGCAGAAAAACGCAGCTGATCAGCGCCAAATAACTCATAGCTTGTTGCCAAACCTCCCTCAAATTTTCAATCATCCAGGTAGTCCTTAGAATGGATCAGTTTTCAGGCTTTTGGGCTGCTCTCATCGCCTATCATCGCTTTTGGCGTCCAACTTTTCAATTCACCGCCATTGCTACAGTTTTCGCTGTTTTTCCCTTAACTGTTTGAAAGTTGTATGGCATTGTTAGGTAATGTTGCTGAGTCATCCTAGGATGACTCAGCCAGGCCTAGCATAGAAATAAGGATTGAAACTAAGGGGGGAGGGGGCTCTGAGGTTAACGGCAACTTGACATTAAGCATACCAAAAGCCAAATAGTGTCTTCCCTAACTAATTGCTGCATAGGTGGACCGCAGCAAAGTGGCAAGCTGCCAATCGCAGTGTGCACTCTAATGAACTGATGCACTGCATTCATCAAGACAATCATCTTCACACAATAGTAGTGATCGGCACCCGCCATGTCGTTGTACTGCATGCAAATATGTGAAACTTGAGTTCCCCAAGGCATTGATTAGCGCTTCTCCGAACTGAGGCCAGCTGGCGTTTTTCTTGTTGGGCATTGTCTTTCTGCCTGACAAATTGTCATAACTCGGTTCCGTTCTTGCATTTCAAGCCGGTCATTTGAAACCCAATTCGGACAAAAAGTGGTAATTCGGACACAAACAAAGCCCATGTTCACAACCCGCGCACACCCAGTCGGTCTTGACTTGGGCATCGGTGGTCGTTTCCTTCAGGTGTTTACATTGGACTGGTGGCAACACACCAGGCTGATGAATGCAGAGCTTGCTGCAGCAAATAAGGAAGGATCTGCCACCTTTGCGCTCCCTAGGCGCCCCTCCCAAGATGGGCCACCCGGGAGGGATCGACCCAGAATGCAAGGCCGCGCCCCCCAAGGTGGCGATTTTCCACACAGGGCAAGCAAATTATCAGCAGAGCACCACAATCCAGGGCCACGGCCAGACTAAGACGACAACTGGGTGCTGATCATGCAGTGGCGGAGTCGTCAACGGGCCAAGGGCAGGGATATTCCGCAACTAGAGACGCCCATTGCCCCTCCCCGTGCACTATACGGAGCACCAGTGCTGGCGTTGGCCCTCCCATGCGCACGACTCTGAGCGAGGAGCCCGACAGGGGTGCAGCGGATCAGGGCGGGCAGGGTGCAGGTGACTATCGCCAAGGCGGGCAGGATGCAAGGGACAATCAACAAGGTGGGTAGGCTGCTGGAGGTCAGCAGCAGCCGGGGGTGCAGGTTGCCTATGGCAACCAGGCAGGCAAGCAGCAGCCCGCCAACCGCTGGTGAGGGAGCCTCCCATTTGGTACAACCCCCGCCAGGCCAGCAGGAATCAGCACGGTGGCCACCAGGCCAATGGGGCGCACCAGGCCAACCTGAGGCAACGCACAGTCAGATTTTGTGGCAAATGACCTTGAGCGTTACGGAGACATCCGACAGGCCCAGGAACAGGCGAAACTCACCCGCCTGGCACAGCTTCGCCACTTAGGAATGAAAATGAGGTGAATGTGCCATTGCCGCCCCTTTGGTGACATTCGATTTTCAGAAGGATTGGTGGTGGTGGACCACCACTCGTGGTTGGGTGGGTGGGGGGGGGGGGAAGTGGTTGGGTTTTGGTGTGCGCTTCATTCACTGTTTTCACTTCATATTCACGCTTCATCACGTTGGAGGGGTTGTGGAATGTTGACAGTGCTGGTGAGGGGATTCAGAGGGGGGTTGTGTCAAGGCGATTTTGGTGGGAATTCCAGTCGTCAAGTCTTTGCAACATCTTGTGTGCACATTTGGTAAATGGTGGGCTGGGGGCAATTGGTGGTGATGTTGCTGGATGATGTCACTGCATCAAGGCACCATGTGGGTGACAACAAGGCATGATGTACAACAAGCTGAGTCAATTAGTACGCTGCACGTCACTTTGCTAAACCGGGCCTATGAATTCTGTGTTCAAGGTTGCAAATCATAACATGCTCTGATCGCTAATTGGTAACCTTGTGATTAAGTGCAAATTCACCATTCATGTGGCATCGCAGCACACTGGGCAACACTGATCCTTTCCAGTGCGGCGCTTGGAAGGAAACTCTCTCGTTGAAATTGTCTTCTGTGCGCCTGGCGGAAGAGGAGCGTTAATCACAAGAACACGTTACAATCAATTGAACCGTCACATGTGATGGGCCCGTGGTTCAGACAAGACGATCTTTTGCCAGCAACGCTCTCCGCACTCGTCCTCCAGACAAGCACAGCAGTAGGGGGACTGCAATACACCCTCAGCGCCTCCACGCTGTCATACAGACCAGAGGACGCCAGCATGCATCAAATACCTTTTCTCTGCATCGTAGCTCAACACTGACAGGTCCACAGCGAACTCCATCGGAGAGGAGGGTCCTCACCCCGCGAAGGCAGTGCACTCATCCTCTGTTGTGATGCCTGGACATTCACGAGCGGCTGCCTTCAGCTGGTCCTGCAGCGTTGAGTCTTGGTCATACAGGTGGTCAATGAGCGTTTCGTCACTAGCGAAGCAATCTGCACACCACAAAAACTCACAGGATCAAACAACATGAAGTGTACCAATTGAAAACACCAATCCTTGGTCAAAGACAGGCTCAGGGCTTATACTGACTAGGCTGATGCACTGTTCATAGTTGCAAACTGCCAGACAATTGGAAGGCAGTTGCAGCATCGCCCTGCATGGCAGCCAGCACACATGTCCCAGCCTGCCCAATTGTCTGTCCAACTGACATATGCTCCTTTACATTCACTTCCTTTGATGCTGGTCTTCTCTTTTTGTTTAGATTATCCAGTCAAAAAGATGGGCGCTCAGATTTTGGGGGCGATGTTGGCTTTAGCTGCAATAAACATTCCATTGACCGCACTTCATGTGTTGGGACGCAGTCATGCAAGCACAACAACATCGGTGCCCAACAAGCTCAAATGGGCAACATCAATACTCAAAGTCCAGTGGTAGCTCTGGTCAGGCATGCATTTCCTTTTGTCAAATGTGAGCACTTGCAGAGCATGCCTGCAGCTGCTGCCATTCTAAAAGATGGAGTGGTGCAGGATACTCCCCACGCAGCACATCACGAACTATCTATACATCGTTTGAAGTGACATCTGCAATAGCTCTACCATAGGAATGTTGATGCACTCGATGCTCATGTTGCCAACAAACCCCCCTTCCATTTGGGGTGCTTTGTCCAACAGGATAACCTGTCCTTGCGAGCCAACAACAGCGCCAGTCTCACCTTCCCCGGATCTCTGACATTTGGGGTCATCGCAGTCCTCACTTGCTGTGCATTCCTTGACGTCCAGGAAGAATTGGCAGATGTCGCTCGCCTTGTCGGCATCAAAGAACCTGGACTCGTCAAAGAAGGGTGGGAAGCTGCACCTGCCTTCTTCTTCTATGTACACACACTTGCCTATGCATGCTGACCGGCGAGTAGACCCTGAGCATCGAAGCAAGGTCTGCAGGTCCTCAAAGACTACACTGTCCTCGTTGTCCAGAATCTGTTGCACCCCACAAGTCAAGTCACCGATGCAAAGGGACTAATTTTCGACTTCAAGGTGGAGCACACAAAGATGTTCATCGACTTTACATCAGTTCTGTGTCATGTGTTAACAAGTGGCAAAATGATTTCCAACACCACACAAAACTGTGCCTCAATTCCACTCGTGGCATGCGATTCATGCAAACAGCATAACAAGACCAGAGCACTGGCAACATGATGCATGCTTTGCTGCACGTGCATCACCATAGCAAGCAGCTTGCAGCTGCCACGTGCACTGTTCGTTGTGAATCCCCAATTCTAGGGCATGATGGTGTTCAAGGGTTTGGGGTGGTCTATACCTCGTCCACAATGCTTGGATTCTGTGCGCACACTCCCAGCTCCGCGTCCCTGCACAACAGACAGGAGCAATTAGGGACAAGGCTGTACCTGATACCTTGTCGAACTGCAGGCAACCATCTTTGCGTGTCCCAAATGCATGGGCAGTGGAGACTGTGCACAGAATCTACACCGATGCTGCAGATGCATATGGAATGGAAGCATCGGTGTGGATTCTCTGCACAGTCTCCACTGCCGTGCATCTGGGATACACATTAAATTGTTTCATCTGTGCTATTTAGAGAGATGGAAGGTGTGCATTGATTTCCAAGACACTATACACAAGCAGCAATCATTGCCCATCTTGGCGGCAATCAACATGGAGTACAATGACACAGTCTCACCATACGCAGGCCTCCTCAGCAACACAATCATCGAAATCTGGATAGTCTTCTCGGCACCGCAATCCTTTGGTGAACATGAAGTATTCTCGATCCAGGCAATCTTCAAGGTGGTCTAGCGTTTTGGCCCTGCATGTTCCTTTGTCACCGCCATTCCTGCAACCAAAACCAGAGAGCAATGGACCACAGCAAGGGGTGCTCATTCAGATTCAACACAGCCAAAAATTTTGAGAAGCACACAACCATGGTCATCATAGCAGAAGTGGGCCCTGCACCAGGCATCTGTGCTTGAATTTCAAGCACAGATGCCTGCTGCAGTGCCCTTTGCTGCTATGATGTTTCAAGCCTTGAAACAAGCTGCACTCTATCAGCAGCCATTCTAGCACAATAAACAAAGTGGAAGAACTGGAAGAGCTGCATCCATCAGTCTTCAACTCCCAAATCAAGCCAAGCTTACTGCAGAGCCCAAATTCTCATACTTACCACCGACAAGCTTGGTCTAACGCTTCACACTCCTCAATGGTTTTTTGCAGCACACAAAGCTGATAAACAGCCACAACACAACAAGATATTCAAAGGTGTGGTATTCAAACACTCACATGCCATGGAATTCAGTCTGACTGTACTTCGATGGTTCGCAATCGCCCTGCTTTCAACATTTGAGAATTGGCTAACACCATCCCGACGACACACACGCGCGTACAGGCTGCCCTGGCTGACCTAGTCTGGTTGGCTTGGTGAAGTGCAGATCCACCTTCTGGGGGGCCCTGCTCTGGATGTTGGGGCTTTGCCACAACTTCTGATATAGCTCTACTTCATTTTGAACGAGTCACTTCTGCACAGACCCTCACAATAAGTTGTTCGTTTTTTTGGTGTGGGTGTCCTGTGATGCAGAAAGTGGACGAGGGTGCAACATATTTTGTCATAGTGGAGCTTATTGCTACAACATTCACCAGAGTGCATTCCAGGACCAGGAGAATCGAAGGCTACATTAGTCAAACAGTGGAGATTTTTTTTTGGGAGTTTGCTCTCAATTCATAGACAAACAGGAAAACTGAAATCAGCTCTGCATGCACATGCCATGCAAAGCGCACTACAATACACTCACGGTAGGTGACACTTGACTGAGAAGGTCTTGGTCTGGGATGTTCACAAGGATATTTGGCTTGCATTCCTCTTCCGATGTCCATCGGCACAGGTTTGTGGTCTGCAACATCCGCCGCAATCGGGAATGCCGGTTCGCAATGGACATCTGCCAGCGAACACAACATGTAAGGCAGCATTCCTGTAGCCCTGCGGAACACTGTTGGGCCACAATGGATTTGTACAACAAGGGAAAGAGTGGGGCCCAGCACAGTTCATGTGAAACAGCCTCAACAAGCAACTATGGACTTGCAGTCACACAAAATTGAGCATCAAACAGCTGACAGAAACACGTCACACTACCCTAGCTATGGGTGCTATGGGTGATTTAAATGAAATGAATATCTGTGTCAAAAAATTGTCATACATTGGGATTTCGATAGTCAGCAGGTCAGAAGTAAAACACGAAGTGTCGTTGGTAGCCTCCAGAAAGCACAAGGCCCAACAAAAGCATATGTGGCAAGGAGTCTTCTGACCACAGAAATGACAGATTCCAGACTGCAAATGGCAGGGCAGCAACAATCTCACTTCCTTGACACTGATGGCTGATGGTGCACATGGAACAGCACCAAGTAGAACAAGAGAAGCTGCCAATACAATCGCCCACTGTGACGCCATGGTTCCCTTGCACACAAACAGACAATTCTTAGCTCGAAAGAGTGGATTAGCATCAGATGTGGCAGGCCCCAGCAACAAGTTGAATTGAATCAGAGCGCAACAGTACAGTGTTCCACAAGAATTTATGTTCTCAAACATACGCCTGCCAACGATACCAAACGTTTATGACTTAGATATCTGCTTCCTACAAGTTAGGGACATTATTAATGCTCTTTCCAACAGGTGCAACAAGCATTGGCTGGAGTGGTGCAGCCTGGACTCAGCACACCTACATGTTTGTTTGTTCTCGAAACAGCAGAAGTTAGTTGCAAAGATGCAAAGAAACAATTCCACATTTCCTAGCTGCAAACAATTTCGACGGGAATGGACACTACCCTGCGACACCCCACTGTAGTGTCCATGGGGATCAATGTCGCTAGTTTATATTGCTTTTACTTCATGTCTTTCCTGCCATGCGCCAAACGTGCGGATTTCAGGAGGTACAGGATTTCAGAATGGCAGCTGCACCGAAAGCGGCGGAGGCGCCTTGCTGGCTTTTGCTTTACGGCCCATCGCGGGCAATCGGATTGCCCGCGATGGGCCGTATTCAATCCGATTGGGTGGCATGCCAGTTCGACGTCTGTTGGCGCCCGCACATCGCTCGTCGTGCCAGCAAAGCCCCTCGGCCGCATCGATTTTGCGATCAAAATGATCATCCAATGCAATTCTGGGCGTGCGCACAAGCACTCGGGGCTGCGCCAGCCAAAGCCGGCCGCCCAGCCGCGCATGGGGCCGCGACTGCTCGTGCCGTCTGGGAAAAGCAACGGGTGGTCACAGCCCACTGGGCCGGCGGCTTCGCAGCTGAAAAATTGCGGAGCCTCCGCAGCAGTACCAGTGTCGTGATGACGGATCCCAACAGCATCGCAGGCGCCTCGCATAGGCGCAATGGTCTGCACAATCTTGCACAACCCACAGCAGCACGCAGCGCTGGCACTACGCAGATCCCATCTCAGAGGCGTTCCACTGGCATGGGTGGCCTGCTGCACGGTAGGTCGTTACGTCTGCTCCCGCGGCCAGCTCCCACAAGGAAGCGACTCCCCAGGAGACGATGGGCACCAACTTGAACACCTCTCCTGTCCCCACCCTCTGTTCCCTCACCCTCGTCCCATTCCAGCATATCCAGGATTCTTTAACTTTTCGCCTCCTAGATCGATCGCAGTGCGCCCAAACATCCCCTCTCCTGTCCCCACCCTCTGTTCCCTCACCCTAGTCCCATTCCAGCATGTCCTGGATTCTCTAACTTTTCGCCTCCTAGGTTGACTGCAGTGCGCCCAAACATCCTTAACATCCTGGCCGCTTCCCTTGGAAGCTACGGCACGGCGGGAACGCCAATCGCCCCTGCCCCCTCCATGGCAAGCCAGGTCCCACGAGGTTACCTCTCGTTGCCAGGCCTGTTCCTTGAAGTCCTCCGCAAGTGCAGCTGTGAGAGCCTCCCAGGCTTGTGGGGTTGATGGGCGGATGGCTCACCACCAGTGGCGCAATGGGCACCCCGCTCGGGTGTGGTTCTCCTTTGGGGAGCGAAGGGAAGCTACTGCCCGGAAGGATGTTCAAGGCTTGAACTTCAAGCGACGTTCACACGCAAGCGCGAGCTGACATTATGCCATCATGAGTTTGTAAAAAATGGGCCCCCTCAATGCGGTAATAATGGCGAATCCATAGTCAAACCCCCGTGTCCATCCCCCCCCCCCCGCCCCCTTTGGCCTCTGTGTTTGCCGTGCTGGGCTCGTCGACCCACTCCCAGTGTTCCACATGACAAGTTGATTTAAGGGCGTACCTGACAACAACGCCTTCAGCCGAATCGGGCCCCAATCGCACGCAAGGCGCAAGATCCACGCGGCCCCACGCGGAGCATATCGTATCTTTTTCCTGCACACACCGCCCACCTTTGTTCAACGCCCGTATCGCGCAATCCTCGCGGCAATCCGCCGCGCACAGAGCAGGGCACGCGGAACGCAATAATGGACGTCGTCAGCTACACACAACCATGCGCCGCGTCCGGGGCCGGATGCCCGCCCGGGTGTCATCCCCCCGCGGAACCGCACCGTCGGCCCTTCGGGCTGGGCTGTGTCATGGTGGCGCCCCCTCTCGCGAAGCGAGCGATCGCCCTCATGGCCATCGGGGAAAGCGAGGCGGTCACGAGCCAGCTATCGGGGGTGTTCCCCTCATGACAGCGCCACACATATGCTCTTCCACAATTTCACCAGTTGTGCCGATGCTGACTCCAGCATGCTGTGGCTGTCACGAGCCCACAACGTGTCCATTCCCGATTGCCCCCGCCAGGCACTCGTTTCCTCGACATCAACTCGTCACTGCCCGGCAGGCGTCGCCCAGCGCGGCGGAGGTGCGCAGGACCTCTGCCTCCGTTGCGTCTATGTGCGGGATGCGGGGATGATGTCGAGCATGATGGCGCGCAGCCGTGAGCATCCGCCCGTGCTCCACAGAGCGTTCGCCATGGCGATGAAGGCCGCACAAACGGCGGCCATATGTGCATGTGATCAAAAACATACGATGTTCAACCCTTCCACATGGTAACAAGCAACGCTGAGCCTGAAAATGTGCTAGATAATGCGACGGTAACGGTGTTCCAAAGGTATACGGAACTGCCCAAATTTCAGTGTGGTAGTTGGATCTAAAGGAGGCCGGATTCGCAGCAGGCTGCACTTCCAGTAAACTACGGCGTTGCGCCCAACTTGGGTGACCCAAGAGGCGTCGGTAAACTGCACCTCTCGCAGCCACAATGAGCACTGCCGCACCACGACTGCCCGTTGAATTGTTCATGGTATCTGACGGCTTCGGAAAATGAGTAGGTGTGCTGAAAAGCTGGGATTTGCGGCCACTTTCCTTGGCAAGAAAAATTGGCGTGGATTTTGCCTCTTTCAGCCCCACCGGAAGTCGTCTAAATTCAATTTGTGGCACACCACAGATGTTCTGAGTGGGCGCCACCAGCCGGTCTTTGACAACCAAGCCACAAAGCGCAAACTACAAGGCAAATTCTGTTTCCACTCTGGGCTATGCGAACCATTGAAAGGACTCCTTTCGCCTTCCAAAAATTTGCTCAATCGTGAGCTCAGGTTGCGATGAAGCGCTACTGTCCACTCAAGAAGTGGACAGCTGGACAAACTTGCTCCGTTCACTAATTTGCTTTTGCCACATCTTCATTTACACTCTGTCAATTCAATAGAATTGACATATTGTAAATACCACACGGGCCAATTGGCAGACCACTGATGTTGCCCATTCTAAGGTATGCTTCAAGGCATGGAGGGGGCACTTTTACGCACACATTAGACTTCATCGGAAATGTTACATTGGGGCGTGTGGCTTCATGTGGCTCCATGTCATTCTATTGCTTTGTCTAGCACTTCATTGGCGCCTTGCAAAATGCACTACGTGGCAACGTGGAAATGGGGCAATGTGGCAGGCGGCCAATGGCACTGTGTACTGTGATCAACTGGAGCACTGCCATCACCACGCCAATGAATCGGTTTTGCATACACCATGGTAGCGATTGACACCTGTTCGCGCAGCTGCACAATGACCACCGTTTCACTGGGTGGGTCACTCATGACTCAGCTGCCGAGGACTCACATCTGACACGCATTCTGACTGTGTGGGATGGCCTGAGTATGCCACCACCGGCTAGAGAAAAGAACACAAAAACAAAAGACAAAAACTGGTCAAGTGCGTGTGTTTTTAGTAGTATAGCAAGCTGGTCGTGAAAATTGAGAGGAGTTCTTGCCTCAAGGGGGGCTTGGTGACGACTGAGCGAAGCCCTATGCAGCTGCGCAAACACGCCTGTAATGCTTAAAATTGTGAGAACTCGATCCCGACTGCGGAAAGACGCCGATTTTCGTGCCGCCGAATCAGGACCATCCGTGTGATTTTTTGTCGGTCCCTGCCCAAGTAACGGAACCTGCTGACGTTCTACACCGGTTGTGTGAAATATATTTCAGACGCAAGTCGTCATTTCGGGTGCAAAAAACAGCTATTTTTGCCCCATGGCGCGGGCACAACAGTTCCTGGTGGACTGCTTTGCTCCCCGCCACTTGGTAACAGTACTGTTCTGCCCAACGTGTGCCCGATCGGGCGGTCCCTCATCAGGGACAGGCTACAGAGCGCAAAGTGAAACAAGCAATGGTATCCCAAACGACTGTGGAGTCAAAAGAGGCCAGACAACGCAGGGACCACAGCAAGACCTTACAAGTTCCCCGGGACTTGTGTCTCGGTCTCTGCCCCTGGGGTGGGCAGCCCGTATTTGCAACATCCTGTGTAAACGCCGGATGGTGTGACTGAGTCACAATCAACACTGTCATCATGCCATGTCAAACAGATTCCAGTGTTCACCCTCCACCGCTCAAAACACGCACCCAGCGCCCCCAAGGCGATTTGTCATGAACGCAGAAATGGTCTGTAACTGCTGGCCATCTTGCGGCCAAATTGCAGAAGTGCACAGGACGACATCTTCAACCAACAGTTGCCTCCCGAATTGGCCCGCTCCTCGTTCTCAGCCGTGAGCTTGCGAATTACCTTAAGATTTTGCCTGACAGCTTGCAAACTACTTTCGGGGCGATTTTCTTTGTTTCCTTCTTTCCATGACAATGGCGTCCAATACGACACCAAATACGTCGTTGGGCCGCCACATGCAGTGCACATGACACATGTGGTGGATACCCAGTGCAAACCAATAACATGACAAACCCACCATGCGACACGGTGACCATCGTGTGCCATCATCAATGGCTCCCAATTGGTGGCAACATCCGGCACGAACGACGCCATCATGGAAATGGGCAAGCGGCGTGCCTGCCAAGGTGGCTGCGACTCGTTGCTCGTGTTGAACGAAGAGCGCACGCCAAGGCCCCAAAGCACAAACACGCATCTGCTTAATTTAAGACGGTCTCTTCACAACACGTGACAGAGCACCAGCAAAGACAGGTATTTGGGCCTATACCTCGCCTCTATTTTGCACATCAAGTCACCGTCCGCTGCAAACTTGGGAATCAGCGCACACACAAAACACCTTCACAGAACTGCAAAGGCAGTGTTGCGGTGATTGGCGTGCTCCCCAACTCATGCAACACTTCAGGGCCTTGACGATTTGTTGTGTTCCCAGGCCCTGCATCATACCCTGAGTAAAGAGCGAAATTTTCTAACATCCAAACAGACACCCACAGTCCACAGGCATTCGCCAGCCCTGCATCCAATTCCATATTATTCTTCCTCATTCCCATAGGCACAGTCCCCAATCTTTGGTATGCCACTGCAGCACACCCGACACCAAAGTTTTCTTCTGCTCATCCAGACACCTCCGTGCAACCATACATGCCAGGCGCTCCTCCGGTTCAACCTTTACATGTCCTACAGCTGACCCCTTACCATTAACACAGCACCTTCTCTGGCTGCTCCCCAACTCCACGGCTGATGTACACTCCTGCTCATCCAGCAACCTCCATGTGACATATGTGCCAGGCACTCCTCCAGTTCCAATTTCATAAGTCCTGCAGCCGACCCTTGCCGTCGACACAGCGCCTTCTCTGGTTCCTCCCAAACTCCAAGACTGATGTACACTAAAGGCACAGAATAGTGCCGACTACTGGGAATCCAGGGTTCAGAATGTGTGGTTTCAAAAGAGCTCTCCACATTGAAATTCAACTCTCCCAAGTTTCGTACATGCCAGCTCTCAAATCACTGTGACGTTTGCTGCGCACCCCACTGCCATCCATGCATGACCCACATATCTTGAATTTGGGAGCTTTCCCACACTTGCAGTATCAGACTCTTCTCCAGTGACTCATCAGCAAGGCCCCAAAAACTCCATTGAAAAACCGGACTACATGCCTGAGAATGGTGAAGGCGTCGCGAACCTCACTCACTATGAGCTGCCGTGTGAGTGGGATGAACCCTCCCTCATGCTTGATCGCGCCCCAGTGCTCGTGCAACATTCCCAACCTGATCAGGGTGTGCAAGGCCTGCTCCCTCACTTCGAAGTTCGCGCTATGCAGCATCTCCACCAGCACAGAAACGCCACCCTCCCAGACAATGCTCCTCTGAATGTGTGGATCCATCGCCAGGTTGTGCAGGGCCCTTGCAGCCTGGACTCTTTCGGGGTCTTTTTCCTTGCCACACACGCCCACCAGTGGGCCTATGCCCTCCAGCTGCACAAGATGCACACGGCAGCGCTGCTCATGGCATATGTCTGCCAGTGCCCTTGCAGCATTGAGCCTGCACATTGCCCGATTCGGTGCGGTCAGCAGGTGGATCAGGATTTGGATAGCCCCTGCGCTGCCAATCAATCGCCTGTTGGGACCATACTCGGCAAGGCTGGCCAGAAGCCTCACTGCCTGTGCGGCGGTCCTCTCACAGCCCGAGCGTAGGAGCACAACACACTGGTAAAGTCCACGGCTCTTCCCTATAGTGTCCCTGTTGTCTTCAAGGCTCTCCGACAGGTTGGATAAAGCTCTGAGGGCACTCAGCCTGAACGGCTGTGCCCCACGGATCACCAGCTTCACCAGTTGCGGCACACCACCCGCTTCCGTGATCTTCTTGCAACCCTGCAGACTTTCAGAAATGTTCGCAATGGCAAACACGGAATGGCCTACATGACCTGATGTAGGTTCGTGCAGGTCAAGGACGAGTTTGGGGACGCCTCCCCTGTTGACAATTACCTGGCAAATGTCAACATTGCAGGAGAGGTTTGCAAGGCACCGGGCAGCCTCTGGAGCACAGGACCCGTCTGAAAGAGAATCGATGATGGGCTGAATACCTCCCTCTGCGACAATGGCTCGCCCTGGCGACTCCCGCTCAGCCAGGGACGCCAGCGCCCTCAACGCTTCTGCCTTGCCCTTCCCAACCTGCATTTCCACCGTGTGAACCAGGGCAGGGATGCCACACGCCACCAACGCATCTGCACTCTGAGGCTCGCCGGCCACATTGGCCAAAAATTCTAAAGCTAAAAGTTTCTTCTCCTCCTCCTCGCTGCCGTCCATCAGCAACCTTGCAGCAAAATCTGTGGCAAGGCTGGACCCAGCCTCACACCTGAAGTCCGAATCTGCGGATATCTGGGTCAGGACTCTGAGGGCCTGAAAAGCGGAATTGCCGTTGTCGCTCTCTAGCAAATGGATCGCCAGCTCTAGGCCGCCGTGCACCACGATGATCCCCCGTGCCTCGGAGGAGTGCGCCAGATTGGCCAGGGCCTGGAGCACATCCTCCTGGCCGTCCACCTGACGATCCTTCAGCAGCCGCACCAGGCTCTGAATCGTGCCGCCGCCGATCAGCGCCCTGCCGTACTCCACACCGAGCGCCATCGACGCCACGGCGCTCGCCGCGGGCCCCCTGCACGATGCGGGGCCCTTCTTCATCGCGTCGATCAAGATCTGCAGGCCAGATTCCGCGGCTACAGCGGCCCTGTTTTCGGGGCTCCTGGCCAGGAGGGACAGCCTCCAAGCGGCCTGCCTCGCCTCCGCCTCCTTGAGCAGCGGCGCCTTCAGCTTCGCCAGCAGGCACCTTATCTCCGCCGCGCTGGCCGGGCATGCCGTTTTAGCGTCCGCCAAGTCGTCCACGCCGCCGCCCCCCATGGACGCCGTCAGACATTTTCTCCGCCCTCGTTCGCGCGCGTCCCTGCAAATTTAATCCCCATCCAGAGTCAAGTGGGGTAAGATTTGTTGCAAAGAGAGAAAGAAACAGGTCATGCAAAGCGCACCCCCTCCTAAGCAAGTGTGCGCGAAGCTCTTGTCCATGCTGTGAAATGGTGGTGTGGAGTCTCCGATGCGCAATGATGAGCGCACAACGCAAGCAGACTCGGGTGGGGAGCGATGGACCGGGGCCGGCGGCCGCGAGTGGAGCGGGACGCCGCTGGTGAGATTCGACGTGCGTCGGATCCTGCAAGTTTCATTGCGCGCACTGATGAATTTTCGACGGCTTTTGAGAGTCACGTCACAGCCTGCACCCCTGGCGGTTTTCCCACGCCGGATTCCCCTGGTTTCAGACAAGCCGACCGGGCAGATGGTGCGCGAAGTGGTCGCTCCGCCTCGCAGGCACACGACGAAGATGTGCTGCGCTTAACGGCGCCGTCCGTTCGCACGAGCCATGACCAATCATCTGGGGAAGCCACCCGCAAGGCAGCCGAAAACAGCGCCGACATGCGCACCGAGCGCAATCGAGCCCGAACAACGGGCAACTCGTATCTCCGAAACAGCCGAGAGCATTCCACAGATCGCCCCGGACACCCCCGCAAATCCACACATGCCCCACATAATTCCTGGCCCCGCACTTTCCAGTCGCCATGCGCAGATCCGAAGGCCTTCCGGCGACGCGGCGCCCGCACAGCGACAGGCAGGCCCCCTTCCCACCCCGCCGTCGGCGCCAGCAGCACGCCCGCCAAACGCCACACCATGCCGCCTACTTACGTAAATTCCATTATGCCAGCCGATCGCCACCTTGTGCCTACACCAGCATCCCCTCGCGGACGCCCGCAGCCGCCTCCCTCCCTCCGTCCCAACCCGTAGCCGTCGTCCGCCCTCCCCTCACAAGAACCGCCGCATGCCCTCTTGCCCTGTGCAAAACACCTCACCCGTCACGGCAGCCAATGGCGCCACGTGTGCGATGCCGTACGCGTCCGTAGTTGCCTAACAAGCACACACCCGCTCCCCAAATTCACTCATCAAACGACATCTGAGATCCCCCTGTGTAGATTGAGTCTGTGCCGGCCCCGCCCCACTCTCACCGTACTTACCCGGTTTTAGCATCCGGGCCACTCTCTGGGACGGTGTCCAACGTCGATGGCTTTGGCGCCAGTCTAGTGGGGGCCCCTGTTTAGCGACCTATTGCTTTGACCTGGCCATTATAGATAATGGCCAGGGTGACAGGCAGGTTTACTTGCCCTTCTATGGGCCAAAGGTTCCAAGATATGCTACTTTCACTTCACACTCTTGTAGTACTCAGCTCAGCATACTATTGGGTTCAAGTGTCTACACACAACACATACTGGTCCACCTTGACCAAAACAGATGGCTGATTCTTAAGCGATTAGGACTTAATGCTCAACGATCTGCACTTGCATCAGCTCCAGACAGCACAAGCATACAGTCAGGCCAGGGACACTGTTGGTTCCGCTCTCCCACCCTTGCTGCCAGCCAAGGACACCCCCACAGGCACCCCACAGACACCCCACAAACAACAGGAGGCACCACAGTACAGTACAGCACAACACCGAGTGAAAGAACGCACTGCGCTTCCACACAGCGGGTGCGCCCGCTCGTCGGTTGTCGCCCAGTCACGTCACAGGCCTCACGGCCGCGCAGCCAGGCACCAGTCACATCAAAAGTGCCCTCGGTGGGGCTTACACGACAGCCAACGTTCAGTCTCCGGAGCCCACAGACTGTGCAAGCAAACGCGCAGGACTGCGCAGTGCGCCGCCACATTTCCGTTCACAGCAGGTCAAAAAGTAGCCACACAGATCCGTCCATCAA